AGAGGGTAAGTTAGTTGGCCACATAGAGGGTAAGTCAATTGCTCATATAAAGGGTAAGTTAGTTGGCCATATAGAAGGTAAATTAATTGGCCACATAGAGGGTAAAGTAGTGGGTCACATAGAGGGTAACCTGATGGATCACATAGAGGGCAAGATAGTGGGTCACATAGAAGGTAAAATAGTTAGCCACATAGAGGGTAAGCCAATTGGTCATGTAGAGGGTCAGTTAGTTGGCCACATAGAGGGTAGACTAGTTAGCCACATAGAAGGTAGACTAGTTAGCCACATAGAGGGTAAGTTAGTGGGTCATATAGAGGATAAATTAGTTGAATACATAGAGGGTAACCTAGTTAGCCACATAGAGGGAAAGTTAGTTGGCCACCTAAAGGGTAAGGTAGTGGGTTACATAGAGGGTAAGTCAATTGGTCATATAAAGAGCAAGTTAGTTGACCATATAAAGGGTAAGTTAGTTGACCACATAGAGGATAAAGTAGTGGGTCACATAGAGGGTAAGCCAGTTGGTCATATAGAGGGCAACTTAGTGGGCCACATAGACGGTAACTTAGTTGGCCACATAGAGGGTAACTTATCATTTTTCCAATATTTTAGAATCTTTATTTAGAATTTTGAAAATAATATTCATATTGGTCATATTTGCCTACCATCAGTACTAAACTGGTGCAACAAAACGGGCATTTTCGGCAAAGCGGTCGACCTGAGCGCTTTGGGCAACATTGGGGGTGGCAGAATACATAGGGGGAGCTGGGGGTTGGGTAACCTCAGCTAGAGGGTAAGATATCGTTGGTTAGGAAGGCAACCGACGGTAGCTAAGAAGGCAACCAGCGTGAGGTAGCAAGGCAACCGACGTTAACCAGCAAGGCAACCGGTGTCAGCTAGGAAAGCAACTAACGTGAACTAATACGGCAATTAGCGTTAGTTAACTAATCAGTATCAACTAGAAAACTTGTCTACCACATAGACTTTAGTTGATATTCTTGGATATTGCAAATTTCCAACTTAAGCTTTTGGGGGTATTATTCATGTTAGTCACATTTGCCTACCGCCAGTAGTAAACTGGTGCAACAAAACGGGCATTTTCGGCAAAGCGGTCGACCTGAGCGCTTTGGGCAACATTGGGGGTGGCAGAATACATAGGGGGAGCTGGGGGTTGGGTAGCCTCAGCTAGAGGGTAAGATATCGTTGGTTAGGAAGGCAACCGACGGCAGCTAAGAAGGCAACCAGCGTCAGCTAGGAAGGCAACCGTCAAAATTGCAATGTTAGTTCAAAAGGGAACCGATGCTCGTTGGGAAATCCCCTGCTATGGAACTCACCCGCTGCGGTGACGACATTGGCACGGGTAGGGGTTTCGTTTCACAGAAACCCCTAACGCCCGGGTGCAAGGCAACCATTAGTTTGGCTGTTTACGTACCGCTTTTGGCGCGCAAGGCATGACATGTAAGAGGCCTCTGGCTGGTATTCAGCTATAGTCCGGTGGACTGCTCGGGGAATCGACCTTCATGTGCGCACCGAAAGTACCGAACGGTTAGTAACACAAGTTGAAACCCGTTCACCTGGAACGCACTACGGGGTCACCGCCAGCTCGACCCTGAACCAGCAAATGTTCAAACGAGCGGGAGATTGGTGGGCGTCAGTTGGGTTTTCGAAAACTCAGCTTCCTCCCGCTAGCAACGGTTGTGGTTGATGTTCTATCGTCAGCCGCACTGTAATTGGGGCGCAGGGTATGACATGTAAGAGGCCTCTGGCTGCTCTGCGGCTATTGTCCAGTGAATTGCTCGGGAATCAACCCTCAAATGCAAACCTACGGTTAACAACCAGCTCGACCGGAGCCGATGGAATCGGTTCAAAAGAGCAGGAGAATGGTGGGCATCGGCTAAGAATTAAATCTTAACGTCTTAGCTTCTTCCCGCTAATAACGGGTGTGGCGAACGCTCTATCGCGAACCACACCGCCTTTGATGCGCAGGGTATGACATGTAAGAGGCCTCTGGCTGGCATTCAGCTATAGTCCGGCGGATTACCTGGGGAATTGACCTTCATGTGCGCGTCGGGGTACGGAACGGTTAACAAGTACTGTAGTTGGTACGCCGTTCAATTCGAACGCATTGCGAGGCGTTTCAAGCTCGACCTCGAACTGTTAACGGTTCAAATGAGCTGGATGCGCTACCCGGTTTGACTCCTAGTCAAATGTTGGATGGGGATCAGCTTCCGACGAGGAACAATGATCACAACTTCGGTGATGGTGAACTGGAACTGTCGGGGGTTCAGCCCGTCGGACCCGGAAGATTGGTGCGTTGGGCATTTCAATCGTTCTATTTCCTGCTTCTTGAAGTACACAGTGAACCGACGCTGGTGGGGATACAGCCCGCTGGAGGTCGGTAGATGAGTGTGTTGGGCACGAATCGTTCTGTCTTCGAGATATGTGCGAAACCAACTGCGGGTCGCAGTATAAACTGACCGAAAAAATTAACTGCGGATGTTCAGTATAAACTAATCCAAACTGCGGGTCGCAGTATAAACTGACCGAAAAAATTAACTGCGGATGTTCAGTATAAACTAATCCAAACTGCGGGTCGCAGTCTAAACTGACTGAAAAGATTAACTGCGGATGTTCAGTATAAACTAATCCAAACTGCGGGGTTGCAGTCTAAACAAATCCATTCAAAAATCCATACCCGGGATGCCAACTTCGTTGGTGTCCCAAATTAAGTAGATAGGTAATTCTGGGGCGAACAACTGCCTCCCCGTTGGCAGTATAATGGAACGGGGACCAACCGGAGATTTGAGACGTCGGCTTAACTGTCAGCGTCGAATTGCTGCTCCCCGTGCAGCAATTGAAACAAAAAAGTGGGAAACTGCTCTTCGTGGAGCAGGATAATCAAAGCATGATAAAACCTGCCGGCCGCGCAGCAGTCTAATTGAGGCGTGGCACAACTAAGGGTCTACTTAACTGTGACCGTTGGATGTAGGCCTGCCCCCGTTCCTTTTGTTCGACAACTGCCCCAACCAGTTGTCGAACAAGTCAAAAGGAACGGCGGGCAGAAGCAAGAAAAGCTTGAGATTGCTGTATTCCAATCGAAATAGCTGATCTTGCGGTTTACAGTACGGAATTCGAACCGTTTGATCGCCGAAAGGCTCTAATGGTAAGTAAATCGTACGTATTCAACTCCATGTTTTGTTACGTTTCTGATTGCGGGCCAGTTGATGGCCGGGTTAGTACCGCGTTCGTATCCGAAGTTGTAGTAAACCAAATTGACAACCTTCCGGCTCAGGTCGTTAGGTTGGGGCGCTGCGGAAACGTAGGGCCTTTCCCCCCCGATGACTTCTCGCCTCATCGTGGCCGGGGGGGTGTAACCAAGCGAGGTACCGTGCTTGGGCTAAGATTGAAGTCTGTGCCGCTGATAGATTGACGAGGTGCTCGGGGGAACCAGGATTTGTAACCCCACCAGGTATCAAAGCTAGCTAACCACTGGCCGAGGTATTTGAACGTGAGCGGTGAAACTGGGTGTTGAGCAGTCTTGAAGCTACGTCTGGGATGCGGGACGCTAACTCGGCCGGGCTTGGCGGTCCTAGAAAGCCATTTGTTAGGAAATTAACGGGGCGTTTCGGGGGATCCCAGAAAGCCCACCAGGAAGTCTGTTGCCAGTGGTTAGATGGCGCAGTACTTTTTGAACGTGGATAACTAATTGGGTGTTAGAAGCGGTTTCCAACAAAGTAGGCCTGGCTGGTCTTTATCAAGCCGGTGTTATACGCAAGCGCGCGTATGCGTAAACACCCCCACCCAAAGTAACCCGCGCCTCAACGTGGCGGGTGGGTCCAGTAGTCGTTTAACGGCGAAGCTAGGACGGGTTACACAACGGGATACGCCTCTTTGGGATTTCCGGGAAGCTAGTGAAATTTTCAACGAAGGAAAAGCAAAGATGTCATATAGCAAAATTCCCACCCTTTACTTAGCATGTTTGTTATGTAGACTTTGGGAAATTGCAGAATTCCAACTTGGGCTACTCGGAGAAATATTCATGTTGGTCACATTTGCCTACGGTCAGTATTAAACTGGTGTAACGGAATGTGCATTTTCGGTAAAGCCGCCGACCCGGGCACTTTGGGCGACCTTGGGGGCGGCAGGATATATAGGGGAAGTCGGTGTGATACATAAACACGCGTATGCGTAAAAATCTCCCACCCGAAGTAACCTGCGCCTCAACGTGGCGGGTGGGTCCAGTAGCCGTACGACGGCGAAGCTAAGACAGGTTACAGAACGGAATGAGCGGAATCCGGAACTCGATAGTACGGTTTTCAAGCTTGTATTCGATCGGCAGGAAAGCTAGCTTCTTGAAGAGCTGTTCGAACCAAAATTTTCTATCGGTTAATGAACCGAAGAGCTACTTCATTCGTGCTTCGAACTCCCAATCGATAGAAAAGTTTGATTTGAACAGCTCTTCAAGGGGGTGGTTTTCCTGCTGATCGAATGTGAACTTGAAAACCGTATTGTCCACAACTCAGGCCTGGCTGGTCTTTATCAAGCCGGTGTTATACGCAAACTAGCATGTGCGTAAACATCCCCACTCAGAATAACCTGCGCCTCAACGTGGCGGGTGGGTCCAGTAGCCGCGCGGCGGTGAAGCTAAGACGGGTTAAAAAACGGATTGATAAGCGTTTGCACCGGCAAGAGTTGCATTGTCAGGGAGCTTTTCAATTTAAGAACATATCAACAAACACGGTTGTTGATAAATTTGATAGTCCCGCCGGTGTTTAGTAACAAAGAATAATCCGTAGCTTGAAAATGCCCCCTTGTGATAACAAGATGCGGGTATAATGATCCTTGTGAAGCGGCTTACAGTGTGAATGGCATCGCCAACGGTTAACGCGCGGTATTCTTATATGCGAAAGAGTGGTGAGCTAAACATTGACATTGATGATTTAAGAAACAACTTGGAAATCGAAATCAAAAAAATTCTACATTCTGGTTGGTAACTATGAACTTCAGGTCTCACTACTGCTCGCCGCTATAACACTTGCTGCTAAACGAACAGCATTGCAACTACGCATGCCTAAAAACATGTAGCTCTTACCTAGCCAACTCATAAACTGATCACCGTCAAAGTCTTGAATTTCCGATGGTAGCTGGTTAGAGTATTCTGGTGACCAGAACACGGACCAACACAAAGGCAGCAAGATATCTTTGTATTGCCCAGAGCACTTGCCCGAATCTTGACTTCTACCGCAAATTTCATCAGGAAGGCAGCACATGTAACAGGAACCGTTCTGTTGCAATTTGAAAAACAACTTTCGCGAATCCAAAAAATGGAACTTAGCCTTGCAACTATGAAATTTATGCAGAGGCGGCCCTGTTAAGGGGTGGTGGGATAGCAGGATCTTGGTGTCGCAAATTGAACATGCATTTTTGAACAGAGAAAGACCTTCTTTGAAATTTTGCAACTGTTCTTGTTGGGTTGCCTTTTCTTTGCGAATTTTGTTGGATCCGCTCGTGAGCCGCTTCTGAGCAATGGATTCCGAAGTCGAGGGTTCTTTAGTCGCAACGGTCTTGTATTGAATTTCCTTTACAAGAGGCAGGTTATTCCTCTTCGGAGGTGGTAATTTGCCTACGAACCAGGGTGGGGCTTGGGCGGAGGATCTGGCACAATTATCGCAGCTGATTCGATCGACTTCGTTGGGTTTGCAGCATTCCATCATATTATCCATACCCTTGCTCAGCACGAAGTGTCGACAACCATCAGTTGTTAGAAATTCTTCCAACAGCGCTTGAGATGTCGTCGCAGTAGTTGAAAATCTGGGTCTCCAGGTCGTGGGAATTATGATGAGAATTGTCGCCTGTTCGCCATCCCTACCGCCCCTACCCATGGCTTGGATGAGGTGATAAATGGAACTAGGCGGTTCTAGCATCACCACATAGTTGATGTTGCTCAAATCTACGCCCTGGTACAGGGCTGCCGTTGTTACCATCACTTTGTGACCCGGTTCGGAACCCGCGCGCCACTTGTTGAACATTTCTTCCTTCTTGATCATGGTTGCATGGTAGTACAGACATTCCAAATTGGAGCTGAGTTCTTCAGCTACTTTTGTCTGGTTGACGAAACAAACCGCCCGTTTGTCAAGGTTCTCATAATGCTTCGACCAGTTGGTCAGAGCTTGCTTGGTCAACATTTGGCTTTCTTTCCAACTACCGTACGTGGTGCATTGAATTTTAAGGTTGAATCGGCTGGTAGGCGCTCTAACAATCTCGAGTTCATCTTCATCGAAACTCAGAAGGCGGCGGAATCGGGGTTCTTCGGTTATGGGTAAGGTAGCAGTTAGGCATACCATTTGCACAGAATACGAACGTAGTTGATTCAACATCAACAGCGTGGGTCGGTAGCTCACATCTTCCGTCAGAGCTAGATGGCATTCATCGAGAACTATTCGGTCTAAAGCTTGTTCCGCTTGCAACCGTTGCAAGAAAGAATGAAAGCTGGTATCTCTGACGTGCTCCAAGCTGGCAAAAATCAAATTGTGTTTGAGTTGATCTTTGTTGGCGTTATCCCAACGGCTGTTCGGTATTCCCAAATTTGAGGTTTTTTCCATGATATCATCTTGGAGCGCTTTGAATGGTACTATCACAACCGTAGTTCTGGCGCCGGTCAAACGAGTGGGTAGTTGGAAAAGTAATGATTTACCGCCTCCGGTTGGTAAAATCGCTAAAATCTGAGTGGTCCCGGTTACAATGTGTTCTAGAGCTAATTTCTGTTGTGGGCTTCGGTATTCAGGGGTTTTCGTTTTGAAGAGACGACATAGAAGGTGATCCACGACGGTCATAGACCACCTGAGCTGTACGGCGATGGTTTTAAGCGATCTTTTGGGTTGGCTGTTAATCAAAGCAGATGATTCACTTCTTGGGCGTTTGGAACCAATCTCTGAGGCTCGGATCTTGATGTTAGACGGTTGGTGGTGCTGATCAACTTTCAACCATTTCTGCCAAGCTCTGCAGGCATTGACATGTTCAATCAAAGATTTTTCGTTTTTAGCATAACCTATGTCCAACCGCACCCCGTAGCGCTTATCGGCCACGTCGGTAGAATGGGAGGCAAGTTGATCCCAGACGTCTGATTCTTCAAAACCAATTGAATCGTCGTCATCATTTTCAAACTCGTCATCTTCGGGGTCCATAGCTGCGCTGTGAGCTTTGAACAGGCGGTTGGTAATAGAAACGCTAATTTGACGCCAACTTTGAATGGAGAGCTCAGGTAAAGCATATTTAACGGTTTCCTTGCGAAGTAAATCGCTTAACTGTGAGCTACACCACCTATCGTTTTGCTTCGCCCAGAAGTAAGTTAGAAAGGGAGCTTGGCTGGCTTCGATGGTTATATCTCGTTTGGATCGCTCTGAATTTTGCGCGCGAAGTGACCACCAGAGAGCGAGATAACGTATTGGTATTACGAAAACCAAAAAATTGGCTACCATTTGACTTAGTTGTGGGGGTAGGCTGCGGTGAACATATCTGAACTTTATTAGTTTTGAGAACTGGAGTTACTATAGGGTTTGAAAAGGGTTACCTTTGTTGTTGAGTCATATTTTGAGCTTTATGATAGCAAATGCTGATCAGGATGGTTCCCTCGTAAACAAACAAATTTCGCAAACTTTGGGTGTTCGAATAACGAGTGGTTAAGATTTCCGAACCGCGGGCAGATGGTCCGACGCTGATGTGTACCAAAAGAAGTATCAAACCCAAGAACTCTTCAACCGTTCGTTCATAAGCGGTTATCCAAGTTGAGGTAAATAGATTTTGATAATTCTCATCATCAGTTAAATCTTTGTCAAAAAACTTGGACATAAACTTTTGTAAGAATTGATTTTTGATATCCGTAATTTGACCACGCGCATCGGTTAAACCGCTGTAAGCCGCATTTCGATTTGATATATTTTCCGGAACCGTTCTATGATCTCCGAGGTCAAGATTGGGTACTGTTATATCAAAAACCAGTCGGTTCCAAACTTTTATCGCCCGTTCCATTAAAGATTGAACAAATCCTTCCAATTTGTTTACTTCCAATCTTATGTCGCGATGTACAATTACGTCGTTATCGATCCAATAGGTAGTTGGCATTGAGGGTTCGTTACGACTAATGTGCATGGCTAGGGCCCGTTGACTCTGCAGTTCACCCAATGGCGTTCTGGTGTCGTTCAACATGTAAGTTTCTCGAATAGTTTGAAGCTGTTTTACTACATCTGCATCATCTGGAGTAACAGCCCAAACATATCCGATAACCGTCAGTTGACAACAATAAATGAGCCTGCTAAAAAAACCTGAAGCTTCCCCGGCTACCATGATAGAACCACAAGGTTTGAAATTTTTAAGCGCGCTGAATGAAAGTAACGGTAGTTCGAGAAAACTGAATTCATATGTCTGTCGAATAAATAACGACATCAAAACGAAATAAGTTTGAACTCTTAAATCATCGCGCATAAAATCTCTCATTGTGGTTGAATCGTTTAAGAATTCTTCAGGGTCATCCAAATCACCATCGTATAAAGGTAAACTTAATTCCGCACCAAGCTGATCAATCATATCGATTTGATCAGAATTTAGTTGAAACAAAGGTTCAGTACGATTAGTAAAAAGAAAACCATGTCTAGTTCGATAGACATAACATAGGAATTGATTCCAAATGTCAAAGTAATCTTTAGCGGTTTTGGGTTGAATGCATCTTAACGGTTTCAAACTCAATTTGCCTGGTTCAGCACTAACCAATAAACGAGAAGTATGATTATTGAAAGCTCGAAATTTCCATTTTACCAATTCACCGTAAGCGGTCGATCGTCTGATTCCTTCCATACATATACGGCTTAAATTACAAAACCGAGATAGTATGAGTTCGTTATCATCAAAATCGTTATCAGTAGTAGGAGATTTGAGAATTGTAATCATTTCCAATCGATTTAAACCATCGGCATGTGCAAGGTAACCAGTTCTATTGTTCCAAGGACTGGTTTCAACAGATTGATCTTGAATTATTAACTGTTGACGTTCAATATGACTTGTGTCTAACAAATCATTAGCTAAATCGAGCCAACTTTGTTTGAATTCTTGATCAAGTTGGTTGGCAGGTTGGTTGGCAGGTTGGTTGGCAGGTTGGTTGGCAGGTTGGTTGGCAGGTTGGTTGACAGGTTGGTTGACAGGTTGGTTGATAGATTGATTGATACGCCACCAAATTGGAGAAGAATCTTGAGCACAGGCAGTTTGAACTTGATAAATATCGCAATCATTTTTGAGAATATATGGTGTGTGTGTATTTCGTTGAAAATTATGATTTTGATGGAGATGTTTTTTCATAGCATCGGAATGATGACCTTTATAAGAACAATGATGACAAGCGTATTCAATAGTTGTTTTGAAATATGGTTGAGGCGATAATGATTCCTTTTTATTAAATGGTTCGGGAAGAACAAAAATATCAGAAGAATTATTTTTTTGTAAGAATTCTTTGAGAATTTTTCGAGTTTTCGATGGAACAGAATCTTTGTGATATCGACTACAATGTTTACCGATATTAATCGAAGTATAAACTTGTTGATGATTAATACAAAATAAAACCTTCCATTGTGATATATATAGAAATTCGTTGGTTGTAATAATCGGTTGAAAAGTTAAAGTTGCCATTTTATCAAGAATAAATCGAAGAATGGATTGGAATTCACAAAAAGAAGATGAAGAAGAGTTTATATAGATTTTGTATGTACCCCTGAATTCAGGGTTTCGGGGTTCTGAATTACTACTTTAAGTAAATTAAGCGATACGGATCAGTGGTTCGGATCAGTGTCCTTTTTTATGCCAAGACCACACCTCGCTTATATGCATTTGGTACGGATGAGTGTCCCATCCGATCAACTCATACCCCGTA